GCCGACCCTTCTGGCACCAAAACTTGGACATTGCGAATTCAGCCAAGGAATGCACGCAACGATGATCCACCTTTGTTTGCCATTGAAAAACCATGCCATGTGGAAGATCGCATAAATCTCAAATCACAGATGATGAAATCGATTTGAACACAACTGTTGTCAAATGCCCTTTTGCAAGTCCAACCTGTCTTGCACCGGAAATCTAGCTGCAAAACGGCTGACGATGTGAGATTGGTGCTCAGACACGCATCTTGCAAGCTTTGACCCCCTGTCATTTCGAGCACCAGACCCCCAAGACCCCAACAGCGCAACATCATCCTGCGGTAATGCTTCTCCCATGCATGCGCTAAAATCCCCGCCAAGTATTGGAGTGGCTGCGGAGGCACGAATTTGCGCAAGCATCAAATCCAAGATACTGTAATTTTTGTCCACTCGATCATTGTGGTCCCAGCTCGTTGGACAACAACAAGAATAGACATAGAATCTACGGCCAGGACATGTTAAACTGATCGATGCACAACCGTGCAGAAATCGCAGGAAAACAGATGTCAGAAATCATTTTCAAACTGAAGGGAGACGTAAATCCCGACGCCATGAAAAGCAGCTCCACCACTGAGATAAAGTTTGCCCCCACGAGACGTCTTGAAAACTTCATGCATCTCACAGAACGCCAGGTTTCGGACATGAAATTTAAATCATGACCACCTGCATCTAGTTCCGGCAAGCAGTCTTGAAACCGAACCTCGGCCCTCTGTAAGTTCTTAGTAACAACACGCAGTTTGACTTGGAAGAGGTGATGTCGCATGCAAAGTACGCTTACAGGCGAAGCTACTTTGGTGCAAAACAGCAGTGCGAGAAATTTGGATCCATCTGGCATTTGGAAAAAATGTTGTCCTACTCCAAGTCATCAGTAAAATCCCTGATGACATCGTGGACTGCAGTTCTGACCGGCCCATTTCACGATTCCATCCTCAATATAGCTGAAAACAAATTGATGGGTCTGCGCCTCATTTTTGTTTTCAAGCTTGAACAGGTTGGAGCCACTATGCAACTTCCTGACCCTCCATGTTTACACGCTATCACTTGCAAACTTGTTTGAAGACCAATCCTACGCACATGCCACTCGTCATGGCGCCCGCGCACACGTACAGAGTGGAACGCCCACACCTGGGGTGAAACAAAGCAACATACTGGCCAGATCTTGCCACGGACACGTCTCAAGTTTCCTTTCAGTTTGCTTCGGTCTGGGTCCCACCACGATGCTCTCAGAGATGCTTCATGTCGAGAGTCCCATGCTTGCCATGCTAAGGCCGGCCACGATTTCCCGGACACTCCTCACATGAGATGGTTTGAATTTTCTTGTCGCGTACCATGCTCCCAAACCATGATCCGCCACGATGATTCCGACGATGAGGCCAGAAACGCTGATCCCCCTTTGCGGTTACTTAACGTGTGGAATTCCATCACTGGCTGCAATTCTTCTGGAAACGTCACGTGCGGAGTTTTTGCGCATGCCCAGCTGCTCCCCGCAATGTTCCGCGAGATTTTCCTGCTGCCAGACGATGCTCCTGCAAACGCCTCATGTCCTTACCCACGAACGCCCACATTGCGCTGACAACGCAAGCCGATGGGACCGTCACTCCTGTGCAGCGTCTCGCCCATACACTTTAGCGCATGGGGCAACCTCAACCATACCCGCCGCGGACGGACGTGCGTGCGGCAGAGGAACTTACCGACAGCAGCACATGGATACCTGAGGTGGAAGGCTGATGGCAAAATGGCACCTTGAGGGTCCACGCATGCTGCTGCTGCTGCTGCACACCTCCCCGTCTGCCCGCTGAAACGGTGTCAAGCTGCGCGTAAGCTGTGCGTGACGATGGTCGGACATTTCATGGTCGCAGTACTAGAAATAAGCACATCCACGGCCTTTGGACACGCCGCCGTAGAGCCGCTCGCGAGACAAAACCCTGCTGGATGTGATTCAGAGACCTTGTTTTTTCGCCTTGCTCAGCTAACACACAGGAGCGTCCAGCTGTGAAATTCCGCACCTGCAGCAAACCAAGGGACCCCTTACCAAACTTTCCAAACCCCCTCTGAGTTCCATGAACAAGTCACATCTGTCAAGGCTACGAGGCCTGTGAAGCGGCGACCATCAGGAACTTTCTTGGAACCTGCCAAATTGTTAAATTGAATCGAGCCATGTACCTTTGCCTGGAACGCAAGCCCCAAAGAGCCAACAGCCGCGAAATTCCTGAAGGGTAGGAAGCCAGAAACCATCAATTGTTTTCCACAACAAATCTTTAAAGGCTATACCCTTCACCCGGCCTCAGGATGCAGCTATGAAGGGCGACAGGATGAAAACCCTCCCTGGAACCTGGAACCCGTAAAATTTCGAATTCCAAGTGCGGTTTAGTTTTGCTTCCGCAAGCCAGTATGAAGGAGCCACCAACCATTTTTTCCACGCACTACCCTGCCCACTGTCCAATTCAAACTTCTTCCAGGCATGGGCGCAGCCTGGAGGCGGCTGCGTATACAGCAAAATCTGCACATGATCATTCCGTGTAAAGTGCAAGGTTTACCATACGTTCGTACATGCTCTTCTTATTGTTATGCAGCCAATTTTGGATAGGTCGACGGATCCGCATTTTTCATTAATCGACTCTCGCTGAGAATCCAGCTGCAAAGATATTGTTGAAGGGGGGCACTGCTATATATCACATTGTGGCCTAATAGATTAGCCCAACGTTGCATGTGGTAATCTCTGAACGGTAAATGTGACTATCTCAAGAAGTTTCTTGTTGGTATTTGCTCTGTTCACAAATCTCGAAAACATTCCTTAAATCTTGCAAAGCCCTCAGTATTGGAAAACATCTTGGCCAAACATTGAAAGAAATAAATGATTTCGGAACCATAAACCAAAGTAGACAGAGAGCGATTGCATCAAAACCTTTTGCATTGGTTTAGAAACTAGGACACTGCCAGTCCTGTAACTGGGTGATGACATTTGTGTAATTCAACTTTCGCTCTTCCTTGCCGAGCCAGCCCCAAAAAAAACTCTTCTTGTTGTTACCCTTCCTTCTGCCTCCTGCCCCATGTTTTCACAAAGCTTTGTTTAGAGATCCGTCGGGCTGCATCTGCGAGGCGAGGTGTGGGTTAAAAAGTTAAATAAACCAAGCACTACGTGCTTAATTTCAGCCTGCAGCGCAACTGCAACATGGACAACGCGGCAAGCTCTCCCAAATGCTACATGACATCACCAATGCCAGCACTTCTTATCGTTCATCCGGCTCGGGCGCACAGGTGTCGCTCCCAAGAAACTCTTCTAAATGTATTGACCGAGCCGTATTGGCCTGTCTCCTTTACGTTCTGCTGAGGCACGCTGCACACAGCAAACAATGTCACGAATCGGCAGCCCATCATGATGATGGAAACAAGCAAAACCCTGGCGCCATTTCTACCTACACCGCAATTGGAATCGGAGTAGGGAGGGACTGACAAAGCGTGCGGGCGGTGCCAATTGGAATCGGAGAGGCGAGACACTGACGGAGCGTACAGGCGGTGTGGACCACGGGATCTGACCCGTCGTGCTAGCAATCCTGCGGGCAACTGGGTTGCGGAGTTGCGCACATCTATGATCCAGGAATGCGAAAGACGGAAAAAGTTCGTAAAACACAGACCTGTACTGAAGCCGGAAACTTTTTGCTTCGGCTTGATACTGCACGAGCCAACATGAAGATCGCAGCGGTCCTCCCAAACCATTGCTGAGGTCCGGCAGTGCCGGGAAGGTGGGAGGTGGCGCATCTTGAGTGGTTGCGCCGTTCGCGGCAAACCGCCGCTGAAAAGGGCCCTTTGAGGGCATCAGTTGTTCTTTCGGACAACAACGAAAGAAAAATGCAAAAAATCGCGGCGAGCTGCAGCAGCCTGCAGCGGGCGAGGCGCTGCCCGTGCACCGGCACGGGTGAGCGCACGACCTACGCCCCAGGGCTGCCCACCGAGCTTGGCAGCAAGGGCGGCCAGGCGAGCAGAGTTCAGTGTGCGTGCTTTGTGGCCAGCAGAGTCCAGCGCGGAGACGAGGAGACCACTTTGCGTATGTTGCATATCAAATCTCCATATCATGTTGCGCTATCTGGGGCGGGCCTCATCTGACAAGGCTGGTGGAATGGTGTCTTTGCAAGGATTCTGGTTTGGGGTCTCGTTGGGAAGTCCGGTGAGCAAACTGGCGTCTGAGGAACTTGGATACTTTGGGCTCGTCTTTTGCAATCATGCTTTTCGCAATGCTTTGTCTTAGACTCCCCTTTCCCTCTGCGCCCCTTTTTCCTCCTTCCCCTCTTTTGCGGACTCTCCTAATCCCTTTGTTCAGCTCGTGTCCGCAGTGGCATAGCTGTCTGTGCTGCTTTCGCCACGTCTTTCCGGGCCAGCCCCTTTGCCAGGCAGGCCATGGTCCAGACTGGTTAGACTTTTCTTTGGCAACTCCACTCAGGTCTAGAGGTCAGCACCTTAAGGGGTCCTCTAGTTTGAAACGGTTCTAGACACCTGCCTTATTACGTTGATCAGGCAAAAATCTTAACTCACAGAGCGATTTCATAGTTTCTACTCTGAACAGGTCAACTCCAAGAAAAGTCTAAGCACATCACATTCGCATTACTAGCCCATAGCCATCATTTCACCCCATACAACTATCTCTTTCTTCAATTCTTAAGTAGCTCGTGCACCTTGCCGTTTTCAGCAGCACAACATTCGCTCAAGTCACATTACTGTTGCTGCGATGTCCTTGCAGGCTTTCTCATTACTTTCTCTGCCCACTGTCCACCTCCAAAAGGATGAAGCCCCTTCCTCACTGACAGACTGTTCCGAATGGCTCCTTTTTGGGATGAAACTGCCTCACGGGCCGGGTTATGCGTGCAATTATGCCGCGCAGCCGGAGCTAGCACGGACAACACTTTGGCACGTCTAGTGGCGCTATCAACGCGCAAGGTGAGACCGTGGTGGATGTGGAATGCTCAGTCGGAAACGACAGCAATCCTAAGTCCGGCCAGGCTCGCTTTTCAATTTCCGAGACTCGCACCAAGTCACTAGGCTCAGGGCTGTGTCATTGGCAAGGTCTCATAGCACATCCTGACAGGATGTGCTATGATCAGAGATGTGCACAACTTAACACGACAAAAGCTGGCTTACCCAGCAATTTGTAGGACAGCTTCCGCACCGGCGAGGCCAACAAGCTTGCCTTGTGCAAGGCAAGAAAAAAAATCAGGTTCACATCTGCACGCCCCAGCCAGCTGAAAACTGCCTTGCCTATGATGCCCGTACGATCTCCAGCAACAACCTGTCACTTGCTGAAGGATGGCTGCCTCCACAGGCTGCCTAGCTGTGGCAGAGGTAGCCTTGACACTCCTCCCGACTTCCGGAGCAACCGGAATCAAGGCCTTAGCTGTTTGCCAGTCAACACGAGCCATTTGCCCAGTGCAGTCAATGCAACAAAAACTGCGTGGCCGTGCAGGTAAGGGCAGCATCTCTTCCGCTTCTCTCACAACATCTCCTACATTGTACGTCAGCGATTGCCACACAATCACTGCAACAAAAACAGCAAGGCAGCCTTCCAAACGCAACGTGCGCACCCTGCAAAGGTCCCCTCAGCATTCTCAGACAATGATCAGCTTCGTAGCTAATCTGCGGTTTAGGAGCTAAGAGGCTAAGAGCTGAGACCCGTTCCTTTGACCTCAAGGATGGTCCCTGCCTGGGCCTCACAGGTCGTGTTAGTCGTATGACTGGCAAGTCTGACAAGTCTTGGAGACACCCGGATCTGGGCAGCAGGCACCACGCACCTGGACTGCAGCGCCTTCTGTGAGCCATGCGGGCACCTAGGCAATGTCTTGAGTTTGCCGACATCAGATCAGCAATCATCAGCAGCTCTGAGATATGTACCAATTTGGGCTTCTTTGCTGCTGGGGGTGCGGGGTCTGGCTCCGCCTGGCAAGCAATTTTTCGGTTAACGCGGCATCGCACTGGCCGGCAGATCTGGCACTTACCAAGTCATTTCCTGTCATCTCATGTCGAATGCATCATGGGCCTTGGTTGTCTCGAAACCCGTGAAGTTGAAGAAGCCAAGATCCATACCAGCACTCTGCACCTCTCTGAGGACTCCAAGGCAAGCATGTACAGCATTGTCATCACAGTTGTCTGCGACCTGGCTGACAGCTGCACCGGCTTTTTTGTTCGGAGCCTGGCAGACTAAAATGTTCGCAGATACCAGTGGCAGATGTACCATTCTGCACGCCTTGATCTGCAACGGATCTTCTTCGGGCTCTTTAATGGCAGCAGCTGCCGCTGCAACCTGCAGCTACGTGTCCAACTGAACCAGAAACCTCACGGCTGCACATCGCCCCGTAGCCTCAGCCAAACCCTCCCTCATCATCTCCTCGTCTTCGTCTATGTTGTCCGCAACATCCTGCTTCAGCGATGGCAGGATGATCCAGGACTGCGAGCAAAGAGAAATCAGATCTGTCCTCCACCCGACAACTCTGTAGGATGATGCCATTGGCGACATGTCCTAGGAAGAGAAACTCCCTGGCAGTGATTTTTCCAACAGGCAGAAACATGACCCACTCTAAGCCAGGATCTCAGGAAGACATGTTCTGGCATGAAGAACACCTCCGTGATCTCTTGCCTGGCTGCAGAAGATTCGGAACTTTCAGATACTGAGGCAGCCTGCAAGCGCAGCAAGAACAGCATGGCTAGGCAGACAATGCAGAGACGATCTCGTGCTCGTCGGCCTGTTGCCAAGGAGGCTCTCAAAAGAGTTGTGAAGAAGCGCTTCACCGGACATTCTGACATGCCGCATTAAGACGACGAAAATCATTGAAATTAACCCCGTTAAATCAAGACCAATTCATACGAATGATAGCACAAGGTAGCAGAGTAGTAGTTATGAACGTTGTCGCATTTGGCACAACAGTAGCAAAGCAGCGGCAGAGGCCAGCAGTGCCAGCAGCAGCAGCAGCACCAGTAGCAATGACTGCACAACTGGATCAGTCAGATGCATGTTTCCTGTAGCAAGCGTTGCATGACAAGATTGCGCAGCACATCATCCTTCAACGTGCAGCGGCTACATCAGCAAGAGAAACAACGGCAGCAACGATTATCACCACAAGTGCCACCAACTCCCGCTGCTACGAAAACACCATCACTGAATGTACAGTCTACCAAGCAGAACGCTGTGAATTGTATCATCCATTTTGCGCTCTCCGCGCAGCACAGCTTGCAGCTCACGTTGGACTAGACGCAGACATTGACTGCCAGCGCCTAGGCAAACAATTCAGGCGGCAGGCAATCGGCTACAGGCTCAGAGTGCAACCCCTCAAGGCAGGGACTCCAAAGGCCGGGCTTGAGACATGAAGTCTTGCCATTCAAATTCACGTGGCGACATGTTAAAGCCTCAAGGAGAAGTGAGAACATGCTGTATCGCTTTGCAATCTGGACGGCTAACTGAGCGCAAGTGTGCACTACCATGCAAAGTCGCGTGCGTTTCACCCATCCGAAGAGCGTCGGATCAGCATACGCCTCTCTTGCGGCAATTGCCACCAACATCGGCGTATCAGAGAGCCAGGAATCAGAATCCCACCTCGCGGAGGAAGCGCACCATGCAAGAGGCCTCATCCTGGCTTTGTACAAGTTGTTTTTTCTGCAGGTCTCTAGGCACTTTAAAGGCAAGTCTGGCCAGCAGAAAAAACCTAGCAAAACGTTGAAGGTAAAGCCACCCTGCGACCTTCCGCTACGGCTAATGTTGAACAGGAAGGCAACAACAAACAAAAAAACTCAAGGCAAACAGGATACGCTGCATCACGCATCCCCTACGCATCAGAACTTCCTCTCGTCTTAAATCTCTTCTGCGTAAATCACCATAACCAGAATGGACGAAAAACACCTTTTGATAGGTTTTGTGCTTGCCCGACATGACAGATTCTGCCAGACCTTTGTGAGGAGGTTGGACTTGATCTCGCCGTGGATCAAAGCCAGCTGGTGCGAACTTGGCTTATGTGTCACGAGTGTCAGTAAGACTCAAACAACAAGCTGAGCTGGCAGGCACAATCAGCTCAGTGAAGAATGTAAGGCCAAGGTCGATAACAGGTGAGCCCTGCCTGGAAGTGAGAAACCAAAACACATGACGAGTTTCCACAGTAGGGTCCAATTTTTAATACCCACACATCCAAGCAGCCACACAGGAAACGAAGCAGAAAAAAGGATCCATGATCTAGAATCTAGAGAATAGCTCACAGGAAGACATCTTGGACCTTGACAGGTAAGGTAACGGCTGGAAGCCCTCCAGCGTCTTGAAGAGCACCCGCTGATCCTGCACCTTCATGGCGCTCGTGTTCCCACACAATCCGAACCTCTGGCACAGAAACCCACTTGTGCAGGGCCTGCCAGACCATATTCATGTAGCCGTCCCCACGGGGAAATGGCAGAATGAACATTGGGCAGGCCTGCCGGAGAGGTTGGCATTGGCTTGAGCTGGGACTGCCAAATCTGCCGACAGCCTCGGCATTGACCTGAAGCCTGGTTGGCAAGGCTTGGTTGGATATGTATGACCGGAAGCGGGCTTCAAACCATGAGGGAGGAGCGTTCTGTAGTCCCTGTCTGCCATAGCCTTGGCAGGCTGGTCTCCTACTTCAGATACATCCACCTTGATAGAATGTCTAAGCGATGAGCACCAGCGACTGTGATTGGATTCTCTCGGAACCTGCACTATGCACATGTACTGCAAGCATCATACACACTCCAAAAAGCAGCACATGCACCCATCGGATTCGGCACCTCTCCAACCAAATCTCGCGAACTTTGACTGGAGACTCTTTCATGAGCAAAGGCACCTAGCAGCACATAAGAAATTTGCCGAACTTCCTAACCTCTTCCCTTCGGCAGCCAGCCTTTGCTATGTCACTTAGTTTTGTGGCGCCACCTGGTACCTTGCCAGCACGATTCTTGAGCTTGTCCCACAGACGCACTTGAATTCACTTGCCATGTGTAGGATGCTGGCACCAGGCGCAAGCGCCTCGCCAGGAAGACTTCCTTGCATTGCGCTTCTTCTCCAGGATGGAGTGACCAAAGAGTGACAAAAGGGTTGCGAGGATTTGCAAGAGAACGCAGTGCCTTCAAACTCTGGCAAAGAGCAAGTCAGATCTAATGGTTCGGAATCTTAAAACATGGTACGTTTCTGTAGCATGGCCTAGTTACGTCTGCATGAAGGCTCACATTCAAAAGTGGCATATTGACCTCGCTTACATCAGCGCCTCAAACATGATACTGTCCGGGCGGGAGGATTGCCTCTTGGGGACTCAAGGTTTTCTGGCAAGCGAAGTGGCCCAGCGGCATCGTTCGGGGCCCTATGGGGACAACAGTGCCTGGTGGGGAAACACAGATGGATTTTTCAAAGTATGGTGTGCCGCCGCTTCAGCCACAGCTATTGCCGGCATATGAATCTTGCGGGATCTTTCGGTGTGGCCTGCCAGGGACACAAACTGAGATTCGCTAACGTTTTCTGTGTTATGATTGCGCTTAGCCAGCATCTTGCTAGCTGTCCCTTCTCAACGGCTTTTTGAGGTTTTTGATATGAGTGCCGACTTGCTTCTTGCTTCTCCACCCAGCCTGGGGGGCATTTGTTTGGCATCAGCAGCTAAAGCTTGTTTGTCAGCCAAGGGGCTGATGCTTGACCAGAGCACTGACTTCTAAGTTCAAGCGTGTAAGAGTGGGCCTTTGAGTTGTTTATCCATCCTAGAGTTGATGGGACACATGAGGATGCCGCCCCATGAGACTCATACGGAGCAGAACTTCAAGAAATTTGATTCGACATCAGCACCGTGCAGGCCTGATAGACACCTCTCTGACCATCTCACAGGTCTCCTTGCTAGGACACTCAAGGAGACGGCAAGGCTTTGGACGCAAAAGCTGGCAAAGCTAGCAAACCCAAAGGCTATCGTTACCTCCATCGCAATGCGCAGGCTGGAGCGCAGGCTCGGCAGGCCCGGCCAGTCGCCAGCATGGCGACCGATGGCGACCGTTTGAATAATGTGTCTTCAATCAGCTGCAGTCTAAACATGTCAAAGCGCAGGACACGTGAGCAGCAACACCTAAGACATCGTTCGCGGACAGTTGAGTGCCAAATTATTGTTGTGCGTCTGCGCTGCACGCATTTTGCTCTCTGCCAGATTGGTGCTTGAGCCCAAGTGCTGCAGCGACAGTGGGCTAACCAGCAGAAGATAAAGCCTTGTGCCCCGGCTCCCTCAAGATAGAAATGTTCAACGTGTTCGGATTTCAGGGCATATCAACTGATTGGAATGCTTCAGTGATTTGAGTGTGCCTTAATCAAAGATGGGCTTGACGCGACGGCCGCCTGCCAAACTTCCCAACACAGCTGACAGTCAGAAGCCAATCACGTGCCGCTTTGTGCCACAGCCTTGAGCTCGTCGATTGTGGCCACCCCTGCAGTGTCCACTGCCTCTGCTGAATGGCGTGGTGCCAGCTCAGCACCAACAACCCAAATAAGCATGAGCCTGCCGGAGAGCTTGGCAAAGCTCCGGAGAAGCCTTTTACCGGAAGAAAGATTCTACAAAGACAAACTGAGGTGTCTTTGTTTTCAAGCAAGCCTTGCAAGTTTCTGGTGCTGCCATTGGCTGACGGCGTCTGAAGGCGCGCCGGGGCTCCCAAAACAGTACCTAGCACGAGAAGGGAAGCTTGGTAGCTATCAGCTCCAGCGTTTAGATCTTCAATCACAAAATTCGTACTGTTGCAAGTATGAGCCAGTATGTGCAAGTCACTTGTACTTGGGCAGTTTGTCAAGACAGCCTCGTTTCGTTTCAGTTGCTTTCAAGGTCGAGGGCTCGTCAATGACTTTTCGTACACAAACTAACTTAGCGAGACTGAGCTAAAATACTGCAAACACATAAGGCCGCAGGTCATCGACAGACTAGCTAGTAATCTCGGGTAGCAGATCAGGACACTGCTGTCAGTGCTCAAGAAAACGCTTGCTTCGAGTTCCTGAGGGCACTGGGGACATGTTTGACTCCTGTAGTTTTGTCGCAACTGCCAAAGTCATACGGGTATTGACGGTATTGACAATAATGGTCCACGAACTTATCAGAGCAGGCGAAGCCGAAGTGAAGCAGGGCATGTGGAGTCTTCCCATATGTTCTGCCAGGCACTGGGCACCAACATATTTGCGAGCGGCCCAACGGTGAAAAAGATATGATTTGGCAAGTGATTACAAGCATGGATGGCCTGCACCGGTTGTGCGAGCTGCACAGCATGTTTGCACAAATTATTTTGTTTTCTCGCGCTTGTTGGTTCAATTTTTTGGTTTTCATCCCAGAAGGCGGCTCGGGCTGCCACCAGCAAATGCAGGCAACCAAGTTGACCCCGACACTCAAATTCAATTGCAGTTTTGGCCAGCGGCCTTGACCAGTGCATTTACAGCAGAAATAAGTCACCATCACAAGCGTATGGGAACGTGCCAGCGTGCAAGCGCATATGCAGCAACGTTAGACAATGCAGGGGCGCAATTGACGCTGCAAGACTTGCGCCAGCGAAAACGTTTCAACTTGAACTGTCCATCATTCCAAGGTGCAGTGCGCGACACACTCAATGCGCACGCACCGGTTCCCCCTTTTTCAGTCCAGGATGGCAGCAGTCGCACAGTTCAACCTAGACTGCCGCAAGGATAATGCGTGGGGCACCTGTCACCCAGGCAGCCACATCCTAGACCACGGGACACTGGTGGCACTCCGCCTGTGGCATTCATGCCACGACGGAACCACCCATTCGCAAACCCTTCCACCGGATACTCCGGCATCGGATACGCCTGGCAAGATCACAAACTCTGCGCGAGCCCTGCACAACCGGGTAACTCCACCGGAGTCCGGGCTATGTACAAAATGGGATGGGTGGGTCAAACAAAGCTGCAGCCAGTTTGGCTCACAGCCCAGCTTGAACCCAAAATAGCAGCAGCGTGAACCTTAGGGAATGATTTGCATGCACCCAAGCCTGCCAAACTCAACATGCTAACACATTCCAAGGTTGTGTACTACACACTCACTGCACACGCACCGGTTCTCCCTTTTTCACTCCAGGATGGCAGCAGTCGCACAGTTCAACCTCAGGATACTTGTGGCACTCCGCCTGTGGCATTCATGCCACGAGGGAACCACCCAAGCCACTCACTCCCAATGCGTTACAAGAATGGTACCACGCTGATGATCGCTGGAACAGGGAGAGCCCAGAGGAGGTGCGGAGCTGGAAAAACTTGAAGCCGTGGGCCCAGGGCCAAGGGTCTGCCCACCCTAGGCAAGATATTTCATCTGCCCATTTGAATTTCGATGGAATCCAGTCGCAGTATAGGGTGCAGCCCAACGCAAAGAGGCATAAGTGAATGATCTGATCCAACTTCTCGAGGCCCAGGGAAGAGGACCTCCCACGGATCAAAGACATGAGGGCGGCCGTGTTATCCACGAACCACGGGCCACGGCGGCTGCATTTGCAATGAGACCGTACAGGATCATTGCCAATTCCAGTTGCGCAATGTGGTGCTCGCCCTCTTGGAAATGTTGGTAGACGCGTTCACCGACTGTGGCTACAAAACTGTGTCTCACTTGCACTGCATCCGTGAAAATCGACTGAAATCCTCCGGAGCCTTGGTGTGTTCTGTACGGCGCCACTCGCCGCCAGAACTCGGTTGCACGCATTCCACCACAGTTCGAACTTCCGCTTGGGCTTACCAAGCCTGCCTGTACAACACGCAAGCTGGCCTCCAGCTCCTGGGTCAAGCGCTCTCCGCGCTGCATCTGGCGATCCTTGACGGCTTGCAAACCACCGGCGCCTACTCGTCCAAACACGCCGAGCTCCAAGAAACTGAGCACGCCATATAAAGTTTTGATGCTGCGCCTGCCCGGAATGATCTGGTTTGGAATACGGTGGCCACCATATCCTGCGCCTTCTTGACAAGCCTCTCCTTCACGAAAAAGGCTACGGCGCCGTCTTGGAGGGCTGCAGCAAGTTCGTAATCAAGTCCTAGGAATGCTCCTGTCGCGGACATGGGCTGCTGCTTCTCCTCAGAGAACGGGGCGCCCCACAAATCATTCAGCACCTTGTAGGCCAGCTGGCCGGAACCTTTAGACGACCTCCAATCTGAGACGCGCGAGTCGTCAGAGTACGCGGACACCAACGTCCATTCCAGTCTGCTGCACCTGTTGAACGAAGTAACAGCAAGTGGAAGACCAAACAGGAGGCCTGTGCACAGCTGGTACGCTGGCTCTCCCCAATCTTCATGCCAAAATGCGACCACACATGCCCTTATGCTTTGCCCGGAGCAGGCTTTTTCGCAGGGGTGGCAGATCCATCCAAAGAGAAGACTTTGGGATCCAATTCCACAGAATTTGCGGAGGGACACGCAGGGCGGAAGAAGTAATTGCAGAACAGAAGCTGTTGCCAAGAATATGGCAGGCTGCCGGGCGCGCAGCTGAGGCAAAGTAAATGTAAGAAGTCTGCAAGGCAGCGAAAGCCACATGGCAAGCTGCGCAGCGCGCAGCTGAAGCGCGAACCACATGGCAAGCTGCAGGGCGCGTGCAGCTGCACAGCACGCAGCTCAAAGGCTCCAGCAGTATGTTCGGCAGCAACAACGCTGTGGACAGGAGGGCAAGCAACACCTCAACCGCTCAAACTTAATGGCACAGAAAAGACAGGACCAGGACAGGTCAGCCAGCAGTGACATGGCAGGGACAGGACAAGGGCACTGTCACCCCGTGATGGCTGGCAAGGGCGGGTCCGCCACCCAAATTGGAATAGCCGTCACGGCCCAGGGGAGGAAATTGCTACAGAACCCGTTCTCATGCTCAGACAGAACATGCCCAAGGATCTCAGAACAGTCAGTAGTGAAGCGGGACAGATTTCAAGCGCAAATTTCGCTGAAAAAGCAATGTCCCCTACCATCAGAAAACCGCGCACGAAAGACGCAGCTTGGCTGCGGCCTGGCCAGCGAAGTATGGCCGTGAGGAGTGCCACAAAGGCAGCGTTCTTACAGAGAGGCCAGCACGGAGTGGCTCCACTGCGTGGCACAATTCACTGCGTGAAGTTCCGTGCGCTATGTCCAACCACGTATGAGAGCACCAGCCGACCAGCACGAAGTTCTGCCTGCTCCAGGATCGTCAGCGGTCGGCGCCAAGGTAGCTGTTTATTGTTGAGGCGGAGAGGGGCCACTGCGGTAGCTACATGCAAGTCCACACATGCCCCGAAACAGTGCGCCGCAATAAGCTCTCACTTGAAAGCACTCTCGTGGAAGTGTCGGGAGTGTCCCATCCACCGATGCGCGACATGGAAGCGACGTAGATGCCTCCCCTGTCGAGGAGGCTGCCATGACCAAAGAGTGCTAGGGGATTGTTAGGGCTAAGGGCCAAGGAAAACCTGCATCACTTAAACGTAAGCACCGCAGAGAACATAACATCTGAAGTCATGGCACGGATGCAATGGGGCGACGAGGGAAGTCCATCCCCTTGCACCAGAGGACCAAGCGTGCTTCCCCGTCACGTTCACGAACAATGTGTCCTTTGCCGCTGCTTGACGCATTCTGTCTCCATAACGAAACCTGGGTCGGACCAATCAGTCTCCTAAGAACTGCGTGCCGCACTGGGGCTGCGATGGCTTGGCTGTGGCTGTTTCTGCGCATGGATGCATAGCTTCTGGAACGTCTGGCCACCTGAAGGCGTCCAGGGACAATTGCGAGGCACTGACATGAGCAGCAAGCCTGTTTCGAAGCACGGCTTGCACAACTCTATGCTTTGCCCTCGTACTGGTAATGACAAGTTCGCCTGAGTGACGCGTTGACATGAGGTCCCTTCGGACAGCCTGCACCTATGAGCCATAGGGGCCTGACGGCAACTCCACCCTGGATCTTAGAACTTGGCAATCTTGAGGTGACAAACCTAGCACGCGAGCGCGTGGGAAGCAATCTGCCCAGGCGATTGTAAGTCCCTACCGCAGCCAATGCTGAAGGGAGGCCGCACTGGCACAATGCACCGTGCAGGACCTCAAGAAATCAGCGGCCGCTCATCCTAGGAGATAGGAGAAGAAGGCTGCGCTCCGAGAGTTGGCACAGCATGTGAACGCAGCTCAGGCAACAATTTTGTCCGATGAAAAGTGTTAAGCTCTCTGAACAAGTCCAAGCCGCAAATTCTGGGGGGTGGGTGGCCCTATTCTGGGCAGGTCTGAAAATGTTTCTTACGTGAGTTGCCTCTTCTGCGGTGAGATTCGAGCGACGTGCCATGATCTTTGACTTGTGTGGACCTTTGGATGCGTGTGTACGCCACGCCTAACACACTACAGGAAATGAGAAATGAAGAATAGGAGGACACGCTGCGCGCCTGCAGGCACACGAACGAGGTTCACAAATTCAGAAATTCCCATTGCTGCAATGCCGGTGCTTGACTGGCTGTGTGCCCAGCACAATGGAAACGGCATGGCTTAACCATAGTGTTCCACGGGAAAACATGCAGCCAACGGCGTGTTCAACTAACGATGGGACTGAAACACAGCACTTCCGGCCGTTGGCCGCGCATTCGCTAACGAATTGCAAGAACGCAGCCACCCGTGCTGGAGAAACATTTTTCCTGGCGAAGTGCACGGGAGCACCAACGGCGCAACGCAGCCCTGAGAGCAGCAACGCGTCGCACAAACAGTGTAAGCTGTGCTGACCATGGCCACCGCAAAGCACGAGCCACGGAGTCGTCATTCTGCGGGTCAAAATCTCCCAGTTCGAGATCAGCAGTGTCCAGGAAAATCTCGCACGCCACGCAAAAGAGGGCTTGCACCTTGAGCTGTTTCCGCTCGTCAGTCTCTGCCCGCAGCGAACGACCGAACTCCTCTGTAATTATTATTGGCACTTATTGCACTACCTAGCGATGGGGAATGAGCATTTTCGCTCTTGCGACAAATTGCGCGGCCTGAGGCACGAATGACCCCTTGCGCGCCGCTCGCAAAGGATCGCTCTTGAGCAATTGCACTGACCTGGCCCCGCGGATTGCCGCGTTGGCTCGCCTGCATGCCGCCTTGTACAGCTGAGGAACATCCAGGGAAAAATTAGCAAAAAAGCCTTGGCCAAGCCCTCTAACCCATTCCGACCCTTTGTCTGCACAGCTGGCTCCCACATGAAGCGCACATCGCTACAGGTTTGAATCCCCAAGGCAGAAAACCAGTCACGAACTATAGAACGATTGTCAGACAACATATCTCGAAGAGTTGGATCCATTGCAAATGAAGCTTCTGGTCCCTGACTTTGCCCAGAGTCCAGCAACACAGAAATTCAGAGAAGCAAAGTTGAAAAAGCCAGCAGCATTCATCACCTTAAGGCGGACTTCGGGTTACTAAAGGGGGTCGTATTAGAGCTAAATCAGGCCTGAACGGAATAATAAAAAGGGGGTCGTATTAGAGCTAAATCCGAGCTGA